GGTGTACATATAATAAAATCAACCCCAAAACGGTGGTTTTATATATAAATTCCAAATCCACTTAAATTCCGTCTCCATTTACAACATACATAAGATAATTTATAAATTTTAGAATCTGATATAAAGTATTGAAAAATATCGGGTAATTACTGGTTACTTTAGAAAATTATTGCAAAATAAATATATAATTATCAGTTACTTTAGAAGATTATCACACATTGATTATATATAATTACCGATAATTTTCGAAAATTATATATATATTTTTTTATAATTAGAAAAAAGGATAGAACGCATAACTGTAGAATATTATCGTGCCGGAATGCCTTATTTACCTCCAGAAGCTATTGAGGAAATTATTCAATCTCGAGAAACAATTAAAAATGCATGTAAAAAAATGGTTGATAAATATGGTACTTCAACACGTCGAATTTATGAAATTTGGAAAAGGCATGCACAAGGATTACCTCAGCGTAAGCAACAAATGATACAAAACACCTTTTCTTCTGAAATAGCATCTATGCCTAAAAATAATATCTCAAATGAGCAGACAAAAAGAAAAGATCTAGTTCCAGATCAATTTACTTTTCTCACTTGTCTTCTATTAGTGGAGAGAAGATAAGAAAAATAAGTGAAAATATTATGAATGATGACATTCCTAATACAGATATAGTTGCCCAAATTGAGCGAGAAATAAAAAGAAAGGATAAAAACTTAGCTAGTAGCGCTCGTATAAAATTTACTACTTAATCTATATTGATTTTATCTGCAACAGACTTAATAATATTACCACACTTCACTTGCAAAGCTTCATTACAATCATTAAGTTCTGTAATCGATTTAAATGCATTATAAAGACTTTTCTTATACTTCTCGCAATTTATGCATTTTTTTTTAATGCTGTATTGTTATCATCGCTATCTATATCCTGCGAGATTTGATCAGGTATTGAAGTATCGGTATCTTGAGATGTAGTTGCACAATTCATTTCTAATTTATTTTTAACCTTGTGTATATTGATTGGGATAAAGAACTCCTTACCACCGCACTCCAACCTCAATTGGCGATTTGATGCAAGTAGATCGTAATTATGTTTATCAAGCAAAGTATTAGGTAAAATCAGCATTGGCTTATGATGTTTAACAAC